GTCAGTGGTGTGCCAGGTGTGAGTGAGGGTGGGATAGGGGTGGGTACTAGGTATAGTGTAGGTGGGAGGGGCTGGAGCCCCACTATATAGTATATATACTACAAAGAAAAAGAATAAAAATAATAAGTCTGGTGCAGCAGTAGAAGGTTTTGTGCTCCCGGGGAGTAAGTGGTATGTATTTTATAATTTTTATTTAAATTGTTTTTTTACTCCCCGGGAGCACAAAAGGTTCTACTGCTGCTTTTTCTAAGTTTAAAGTTTAAGCTAGAAAGCAAAACAAGAAGTTAGAGAGAAGAGAAATGAGTTAAAGTTTGAGGGAAAGAAAATAGAGAGAGTGAAGAGAAACAAAGTCAGAGGCACAGAGGAAAGGGAAACAGAGGGGGAGCAAAAAGAAACTAAGTCCAAGTCAAAGTCAAAGTCAGAGGCACAGAGAAAAGGGAAACAGAGGGGGAGCAAAAAGAAACTAAGTCCAAGTCAAAGTCAAAGTCAGAGGCACAGAGAAAAGGGAAACAGAGGGGGAGCAAAAAGAAACTAAGTCCAAGTCAAAGCGAGGCACAGAGGAAAGGGAAACAGAGGGGGAGCAAAAAGAAACTAAGTCCAAGTCAAAGTCCAAGTCAGAGTCACAGAGAAAAGGGAAACAGAGGGGGAGCAAAAAGAAACTAAGTCCAAGTCAGAGTCACAGAGAAAAGGGAAACAGAGTCAAAGTGAAAAGAAAGAGAGGGACAGTGGAGAGAAACCAACTCTACTTCCTTTCCATCTAACTCAGAGGCAGAGAGAAAGGAAACTGAGACAATCCCTGTTCACTGTAACTCGGAGTTACAGTGGAAAGGAATCGAGTCCAGTTGCTTTCTGTCTAACTCGGAGCTAGAGGGAAAGGAAACCGAGTTGGAGAGAAAAGAAACCGAGGGAGAGTGGAGAGAAACTAACTCTATTTCTTTTCTTTCTAACTCAGAGGCAGAGAGAAAGGAAACTTAGACAATTCCTGTTCACCGTAACTCGGAGTTACGGTGGAAAGGAATCGAGTCCAGTTGCTTTCTGTCTAACTCGGAGCTAGAGGGAAAGGAAACAGAGTTGGAGAGAAAAGAAACAGAAAAATAGAGTGAGCAACAGTGACAGAGACTTAGAGAAAGTTAGAAAGAGATTGAAAAGCAAGAAATAGAATGAAAATAATGACTACACCACACCAAAAACACAAGAGCCGGGGGGGAGAGGGGGGAGGGGGATGAAGGTTTATTCACCTTTATTTAATGAATTTATTTACACTACAGCAAAACACAGAGAAACTGGAGACAAATGCATTACAATACAATCCATGTACACACTGAAAAATTCCTAATTCACATACAGAGTAATACAGTGAAACACAGCAGCAAATGCAAATACAGAACAATACAAGCCAAATACATATTAACAGAATATAACTATTTCTACAGTTCTGGAAAGGTCAATACATGCTGTTTCATTATTACTGCTATGCCAAACCACAAGGAGCACACAGAAAACACAATACTCATTCGCCACAGAAGCCGGCTTCAGCTCGCACACATACTCACCTTCACACTCCTCTCCACCGCCCCATTATAATCCTGCTGTCGTTGGTCCTCGGGAACGTGGTTCCCGGGACCCTGAAAATCAGCCTGCCTGACGAAAACCTCGGTCCGGGGCCGGTCCGTGCCCAAACTTTGGCGATGACTGTCGCCTCGCAGACCGGCCGGGACCGAGGAAAAAAAACCCCAGCTGGGAGGGAAAAAAAAAAAACCCCCCCAGCTGGGGATTTTTTATTCTAAATTTAAAAGTGAATAGTAATTCCTGAAAAGCAAAAGCCATACATACCAGGTTAGAACCACTCGACACACATGCACACAAGCAGACCCTGACCCACCGACTCTCACAGACAGACACACTCTGACACGCAGCAGGAGACTAACTCGCACAGTGACCGCAACCCTTATTTGAAACACTCTGCTGAACAAAATGCCCTGAGATATCTTCTCACTGCTGCTTCTCAACATCAAACGGTAGATCCTCAGAAAATAGGCATCAGAGACCTGCAAGACAACACAAGGTGGTCAGTGAGGAATTCTATGGTAGCTATGACTCAGCCACCCTCTAGGCCCACATATTTTCTACACAAAAACCTCATAGAAAAGAGGAACTGTAACCTTTTATAATTGTTCCACCTAACTCTAACTCTGTGCCAGGGCAGGGCAGCTCCAAACCAATGCAGTTAAGTTACAGAGGCAGGCACAGTGCAGTTAAGTTAAGTTACAGAGGCAGGCACAGTGCAGTTAAGTTACAGAGGCAGGCACAGTGCAGTTAAGTTACAGAGGCAGGCACAGTGCAGTTAAGTTACAGAGGCAGACACAGTGCAGTTAAGTTACAGAGGCAGACACAGTGCAGTTAAGTTACAGAGGCAGACACAGTGCAGTTAGTTTTACAGAGGCAGGCACAATGCAGTTAAGTTACAGAGGCAGGCACAATGCAGTTAGTTTTACAGAGGCAGGCACAATGCAGTTAGTTTTACAGAGGCAGGCACAATGCAGTTAAGTTAAGTTACAGAGGCAGGCACAGTGCAGTTAAGTTAAGTTACAGAGGCAGGCACAGTGCAGTTAAAGTCAAGTTAAGGTACAGAGGCAGGCACAGTGCAGTTAAAGTCAAGTTAAGGTACAGAGGCAGGCACAGTGCAGTTAAAGTCAAGTTAAGTTACAGAGGCAGGCACAGTGCAGTTAAGTTAAGTTACAGAGGCAGGCACAGTGCAGTTAAGTTACAGAGGCAGGCACAGTGCAGTTAAGTTACAGAGGCAGGCACAGTGCAGTTAAGTTACAGAGGCAGGCACAGTGCAGTTAAGTTAAGTTACAGAGGCAGGCACAATGCAGTTAAAGTTAAGTTAAGTTACAGAGGCAGGCACAATGCAGTTAAAGTTAAGTTAAGTTACAGAGGCAGGCACAATGCAGTTAAGTTAAGTTACAGAGGCAGGCACAATGCAGTTAAGCTAAGTTACAGAGGCAGGCACAATGCAGTTAAGCTAAGTTACAGAGGCAGGCACAATGCAGTTAAGTTAAGTTACAGAGGCAGGCACAATGCAGTTAGTTTTACAGAGGCAGGCACAATGCAGTTAGTTTTACAGAGGCAGGCACGGTACAAGGCAGTCGCAGGCGATGTCTGCCGGGTGAACGCGGCGATAGCTGTGGATGCGAAGGCCGGTTCCTCAGGCGAAAAAATCCACGATGACGTCGAGAGGCTGAGATGGCCGATGACGTGAAACACGAGACAACGGGAAGATGGATTGGAACTGCCCTGCCCGGCAAAAGCTCTGGCGAGCTTGCAAAGAAACCCTCTCCCTTGGCTTCAGAGGAGCCCATCCCACTACAGCCCTGTCCTCTAACTTAGCTTCAAAATGCCAACTCACCTGCTCATCTCTGCTCCTTGCCGTGCTCGGGGCAACGCCGAATCCTGCAAAGACAGAAAAGAAAAAAGCACTGAGTTACTGTCACAATGCACAAGGTGGAATTCCCAATGTGGTTCCTTTATTCCATCTTGGACTACAAAAGCTTGTCAGCCAACCAGGGACTGAAACAGAAGAAAAACCACTCAGTCCCACCTCTCGTACTCAAAGATCCCCTGTAAAGTTCTGAAGACAGAGCCCTCAAACGAGTGTGGGGTGCTTTGCCCTGAGGCATGTGCTGTTTTTAACAAATTCGAGTCACCTCCCTTGCTTTCTAGACACTGCTCACCAGCGTGGCAGGCTAGGGGCGGCTGAGGCGAAACGTCTTTCCCCTGATAACGACTGCACGATAAACCTGCAACCCCTTCTGTCTCTCAGAATCCTGTCCGTGACACCGATTTGTGTCAGGATCTCCAGGGTGGGATTTGTGATGTGGTTCTCTCATTCTATCTTAGAGAACTAAAGATTATCAGCAAACCAGAGACTTTAAACAGAAAAACCTCTCAGTCCCACTTCTCATACTCAAAGATCCCCTGTAAAGTTCTGAAGACAGAGCCCTCAAACGAGTGTGGGGTGCTTTGCCCTGAGGCATGTGCTATTTTTAACAAATTCGAGTCACCTCCCTTGCTTTCTAGACACTGCTCACCAGCGTGGCAGGCTAGGGGCGGCTGAGGCAAAACGTCTTTCCCCTGATAATGACTGCACAATAAACCTGCAACCCCTTCTGTCTCTCAGAATCCTGTCCGTGACACCGATTCGTGTCAGGATCTACAAGGTGGGATTTGTGATGTGGTTCTCTCATTCTATCTTAGAGAACTAAAGATTAGCAGCAAACCA